CAAGGACTCATTCCCAGCACAAGAGTTTGGAGGATTTTACGGGAGGTAGCATACTGGATACTAACCTGGGCAAGGTACCTACAGTACCCGGAACAATGCCCTGGGCCATCAGCAGTAGAGAACCTAGATAAACTCTCGGCACTCTTTTCCTGCCCAGTTTTATTACCACGGAACTAGTCATAGAAACTAAGGGCAGACCTCTACTTCCCTAGAGTTGCCTCGTAGTCTCTCTCAATGGTGAACGGGGCAGTCTGGTTCACAGACACCCACGCGTTTTCAAGGCCCATGAAAGCCAGTGCTCATTATCACAAAACCTGGATGTCCGGGAAGTAGGAAACTTCCCTCTCAATCTTCAGCTTCTTGTGCATTTCTAGTAGATGGCTATCCCTGTCCTCAGTGGTGGATGACAGGAGTACCACCTTATCATGATGAGCCTCTATCCTTCAATTCTTACAGTTACAAAAAAAAAAAAACAAAAGCAAAAAACAAACAAGAAACAAACACCACTGACAAAGGCACTCAAGAGCTAACAAAAGAGAGGTTTCAATTACACGTACCCCTAAATGCTTAGTACCTGTGAATGTCTCCTTTACACATCTATCAGCCTGCAAAAATTGTACAAGGCAGAGTTAGTAGCAGTAAAGTTGGGGAGGTCACATCCTTGTTATTGTTATGGGGCCCCACTGCATTTTGCGATGCACAAACACATGCCAGGAGACAATTCCTGCCTTCAGGAGCTCTGAGTGCTACGAAAGGCAAGAGGGGTAACAGAGCCACAGCAACATTAAGTTATTTACCTATGATCTCAGCACAGGTCCTCAGCAAAGTCAGGCACAGAACCCGACAGCCTTATGGAGTCCCAGGCCAGTGCCCGACTTGTTGGGCCATGCTTGCTCTCATGTGCTAGAAGCGGCTCAAATCCAAGACCCAGGAATTCTGCAACCTTCAGTAGAGGAGCCACCGCTCCTCCCACTGGGCACACACAACCTCCCACAGAAAATCCCACCGAGGCGTGACAGCAGGCTCACCAATTCCCAGGTGGGTGTTGATAGAGGCATAGCGGGCTGTGCCAGTCAGATTCTTGTTTTCCCGGTAAGGGATGTGCTGGTGGGTCCGGGCGTCTCGGTATTTCTTGGCCAAGCCGAAATCAATGATGTATACTAGGTTGCCTTTTTTGCCCAGCCCCATAAGGAAGTTGTCTGGCTTCACATCCCGGTGGATGAAGTTCTTGGAATGAATGTACTCAATACGGCTGATCTGGAGGGGGGGAAAAAAATTGCAGGGGAAGTGAGAAAGAGGCTCATGATAGCTGCACCCATTACAAACCTACCCTATCCAGGACATTGGCCTGTCAGAGCAGGGAAGGGGACACATTGCAGAGAGCACCAGAGACAAGAGCCATGGGAAAATGCCCTTTCTCATCCTCCAGAAGCAGAAGGATTTGGAAATGGAATACAACCCTGCACATGAGCACACTCCTCAGGCTGGACAGGTCACTGTTAGCATCACAAGAAAGGACAGGAAGCATATTTGTACAAACTAATAAATCTTGAGCTACAGGATTTACACTGGTCAACTTTCAAACTTGGCCAGACCGGGTAAGGAGAGGGACCAGAACAACTACCGAGTCCTAAACTCAGGACATGAGCAGCTGAGTCAATACAGATAAGCAGTATCAGTCATTCACCTCACAGGCAAAAACATCTACACATGCAATGCTAGCACAGGATGAGAGGCAGGGGAAAGGAAGGATGGATGAAGATCAGGAAAAGTCAGCAATGTCTAGCTTCTGGGTTCCCAGCTTCACCAAGAAGGAAAAACCCAGAAGCCACTTGCTGCTAAATGAAAAAGCCTGGGATATAACAGCTCTTGAGCAGAGGGGATGGTGGGGGGTTGGGGGAAGGCAAAGAAAAGGAGAAGAGGCACAAATGCTTTCAGAGGAAACTCACCATCTGGTCTGCCAGGAGCAGAACTGTCTTGAGACTAAATTTGCGGGAACAGAAGTTGAAGAGATCTTCCAGGCTGGGTCCCAAGAGCTCCATCACCATCACGTTATAGTCCCCCTCTGCTCCACACCATTTAATGGAGGGGATACCCACTGGGGAAAGAGAAAAATTAAGCCCTGGGAACAGCGGAAAACTGCTGCATCTCCTGCTGAGGAGATCATATGTAATACCAAGTCATTTCCTTTCCAAGACCCTCCAGAATAATTTCCTTCTTCAAGCACTCCCCCAGCCCCTTTCCTCCCCTTCTCACCTCCTCCTTGCATCATCTTGTAGAACTTGCTTTCGATGTGGAGCTGGGGATGCTTGGTTTTGACACATTCCAATTTGATGGCCACCTCTTCACCAGTTGCAATATTGGCTCCTGCCCAGAAAGGAGGGTGAAGTGAAGATTATACACGCTTCCATTGAAGCCGAACACATTTAACAAGGCCCATGCAGATGCCAAAAATCTTAAGATTTGCCCTGAAATTTATCCTCTGTGACAGAAATGAGAATCAGTCACTTCAACTTCACACAGTTTCTTGCACTGCCATTTGCAAAGACAAGCCCACAGTAAGGCACACAAAGAGGAAACCAGCTCTCATCCTGCAGATAGGCTAGAACAACAGTTCTACAATCTTTTTAAACCACTTCACTATCTCAACAGGTTAAGCGTCAAACCTTGGGAGAACAACCTGTATCAGCAGTAACTAAAATGAGTGGAATTTTTAGCTGTCCCTGATCATAAACTTAGCCCCTGAATCCAAGCCAGCCCCCCAGGCAGGGATATAGAGTACGTTATCTCCAAGTAAAATTACTAGTTACCTCAGGTCCCAGAAGCCACACAGCTTCAACAGCACCAATTAGTTCAGGAGGAGACATTGCTAACATTCCCAGCTACCTCTGGTTTCTCTACAGTCCTGACCTGCTCAATACAGACTATTCCCAAATCTCCAGCTTCTCCCTCTCCTCAGGGTTTTAATAATACCTTTATCTTTTGCCAACACAAGATCCTTTGCTATATCCAAAATTAGAAGCGTGAAGAAATAAATCGAATCGAGTACTGAATTAAGCTACTCAGATGCTTTTGTTGAAGGTATTGGTAGTTTGTGATGACACAAAACCACCTCCCCACAGGCTTCTCTCTAAAAGAAGTGAGCAGCCAGCTGTGGAAGCCAGTACTCTGGTCCCAGAGCAGAGTGTCAAAGGAGGGACAGGCTAGTCTTTTTCCTGCATTAGCTGAGAGGATTCCAGATGTTTCACATCATCCTAAAATGGAAAGAACTGCAAGATCTGTACACAGGTCACGGGAATGACACTCAAGACTTGTTTCTTCCCCCACCAAATGCCACACACACGCCCTTTCTCATACAAGGCACTATTAGAAGTTGCACTCGAATACAAATCAGAGAGCAGAAGTAACAGCTTAGGAAAACTGTCATAAAATAAACTACTCTGGAATTCACAGGCTGAACAAAAGCTGGAGTCGAAGATGATGTCTTGTGGATATCATATAGCTAGTTTTGCTAGGTCAAGTTAATTCATGCCTCTTGATCCCTTTGAATTTCCTGCCCTTGAATTTCAGAGTCCACAGAATGGGCGCAGATAGATCTGTGTCTATCCATTATCCACCTTCGGAACCAGGGAAAACAAAGGGAAAAAGGAAAATTTCACGCTACTGGATTCCTTCTCCACTGGATCCTAAGAAGATCCATTTCCTGTTGAAGAGATCTGGCACTGTGCATACACAAAGTTAGTTAAGGGCTCCCCACTAGCAAAAAGACATCAGTTAGATGCTACAGCGTCAGGTCGAGACAGACAAGCTGGTAGGAATTTGTAAGAGAGGAACAAAAACGATCAGGGCCTGGAGGGATTGATTTACTAAGAAAGATTAAAAGAGCTAAATATGTAACACAGACAAGAGATACAACTAAGGAGGGTGGGGAGGAAGAATGGGACATGACAACAGTCTGCAAATATTTGAAGGCTGTAAACACTAAGGGGGGAGAAGAATTATTTAGGGTGCTCTGAGGGAGGGGAAGGAGGAGTAGCAGGATGAACTTAATAAATGTTTTTACTTGAGATCCAGGAGAAGGGAAGGGGGAAAAGCCCTCGAGAGCTAGTCATTTGTCCAAGAGTCACTTTTGGAAAGTCACTGACATTTTCCACTCACAAACTATGGCCAGCAAAATAAGGCTGTATATTTACTTCCTTCACTCCACCACAAGACTGTCTTACATAGAACAGGAATGAAAGGAGGAAAAGAACTGGAAGAGGGGCTCAGATCACTAACAAAAAAAAAAAAAAATAGCCTCTACTTTTTATATTTGTCTTCAGTCATTGGCTGTCACTCAGCATGGAAGCACCCAGGATACCCAAAAAGGTAAGAGGCGTCTCCTTCCCTTCTCTTTCCCCTGCCTTTGTGGAGACTTTTCTACAAATCCTCTGCAGCAGCTCCCACGTCCACTCCCTGGGGGGTCTGTCCCTATCCTATTCCATCTGCTGACACACAAGCAATGATGAGTCTTGCTGACTTCTGGCAGCAGCAGCGTTAGCCTTCTGAGCGACACCCCCAAGGAAGTTGAACACAGGAAAGATGAAGGTGTTCTCATCTCCCTGTCACCCTACACATTTAGGAAGATGACAATGCATCCCTACACTAGGCTGTCTGCATGTGGAGTATGTTATCTCTGAGCACATAAAGCAGGAAAAGGGAAGGGAGGGGGGGGACCCATCATGAAAACTTAGATCCTGCAAAATTTGGATATGCCATTCACATGGTCAATACAGCCTTCAGCCCCACATCCTCCACAGCCCAAACACTGGCATCAGTCTCCTAGGGAAAGCAGAAACAGCCCTGGAGCCTGGGACACTAAAACTAGGACCAAGCGTGCATAACAAGGAGCAGTTCTTTGCTGAGAGGGCACTGACTAAGCACTTTGAGCTCAGCCCCCTCTATGCCTTCAGGTGCCTCCCTCTGCCATTCTTTGGCTAGAGATGCACAATCTACCCAGACGCAGACTACCCAAAGCCAGGAGGGAATTCAAGGGCAGGAGCCTGATCCTTTGTTCCGTGCTTTAACCACCATCTTTTTTAAAGATGCAAGTACAAAAGCAACAGTTCTCTGCTCTTTCTTCAGAAGCTGCTCTCAGACTGGAAAGCATCGCGTTTCAGACAAACGCTGCAGAGACTGCCTAGCTTCAGCCAGCGAGAGACGTTATGTAGGACTGGGGATAATTCCTAACATCCACCCCCAGTCTCGCTCAGCTGTGGGGGCTGCACAAATACAAGTCATTCATCATGAGCTACTTGAAATGGGGCCCCGGGGACAAATGATATCACCTGCTAAACTGGATCTTTTTAGAGCAAAAGCCCTGCTGCACGTCTGATACAATAAACACCATCTTCCTTTCGCATTGGGCAGGACAACAGACACAGTCTCTGCTCTCCCCACAGCCTTTCCCACCCCCCACTCCTCTCTTGCCAGCTTAGCAACGGAAGAAAGGACGGCTGCTGAACAGATGGAAGAAGTCAGATAGGGCGAGAGAGAGTTAACAGGCCAGGAAACAAAGGAAACACACTCCCCTCCCAACAAGGGAGGAGCCTGCAACCAGGAACTGTCCAAAGCCAACAGTGTCCCAGCATGCTTTGTCTGCGGCACAATCCCTAGTTCCTCTCCACCGTCGTGCTGAAGCAGCCCAGCACCACAAGCGGCTCCTTCAGCGGATCCCAACCCTGATTATTTGCAGTAAGTCCAGATGTTCTGCCCTGCCTCTTTGCCAGCGCCTCTGACAAAGCACCTCTCCTCTGACAGCCCAAAGTTCTCAGCAACTCCTCTACAAACTGGGTTTCACCCCTCTGAGTGAGCGTTTTTATAGGCAAACATGAGAGCCGAGGCCTGTGGACAGTCTGATCTTGCTTCCCATCCTCCCCAGTGAACGCAGGGGAAATCCCCCGCTCAGTGCACATATCCTTCAAGGTGGAACACGAAGCAAAACATTGCTATTTGAGGCCCAGACCAGGATTTTAAGAAGTCCATCCTTTGTGTGTGCCCATGTGGAAATTCAAGCTTCCTTCTGACAGGAAACCCAAAAATGAATCCCAAGGAGCACAACACACAGTACCCATTGGTTACAGAGTGGGGGTAAACACTAGTATCCTGAAAGAGAAAAGTTAAGAATAAACCATACAAGCCCACGCTCACCATCCCATACAAAGCTTGTCTGTCCCTGTTCTATCTCCACACCATTATTAAGGGAGAACTACGAAGTGAATCTGGTGCAGGAGAGAAAGTCTGGTGAATGAGTCTCTCTGTTTGAGAAGCAGACAGTGAGAGGATAACACGAGCATAAACATCCTCCAGACACACCATCAGAGACTACATGCCTGATCCCTCCAGGCTGGGGAGTCACCCAGGCTCCAAGAAGTCTCGCTATCACTGCTTCAAAACACACTGGCCTGCACCTCAATGAGCATCACAAGAGCTTTGATACTGCATTCAAGTAACTTGGTTGAACTCTGCAATTTGAACTCAGGAATCCTGCTGTGCTCACCGCAGCACGGCACTGGAGCTTCCTCTCCTTCTCATGTTTTCTAGCTACAGGCAAGGCGGGCACAGCCCCACACCAGAGCCAATGTTTTTTCATGCCTCCCTTATACAGGCACATGACCCATTATGGGAGGTAGCAAAATACAGGGTCAGGCCTTTCCACTCAGTACCTCCCTTCGTTCTCCATCTTTTGCAAGATCCTCACACTTTATACTGCCTCACAGGGGGTCTGGAAGGCTTCAAGTCCATCAACCTAGGTGGAAAATGCTGTGTCCGAGCTAACAAATTATCACCCCTTGTTCCCCAGCACCTGGGTATTAAAATCATTGTCACCTGAGACACTAGCTGGCTGCAGGGCCACAAAGGAGTGACATACAGGAGTAGGCTGCAATGAAGGCAGCATACAGTGGGATAGGGATCCCAGATCTGTTATTTATCATCTTTGTTCGTGATCTGGATAAAGGTGGCAACAAAGCCTGTTAGCGATGATTCCCAGAGGATACTTAATCAAGAGGAGCTGCCAACACCAATCAGGAGAGAATAATAAAGCAAGGAAGAACTGGAGATAAAAGCCAGAGGCAGAAAACAGAGGGTGATTTACAAACAAGGGGAAGACTAATCTGAACTAGAAGTATTTATTGAAGGAACTTAAGAAGGGGTAAAGAGATGTTGCAGAACCTAGAAGAGATCTCATACAATACAGCTGCCAGCACACTAGGGCCAGCTCTGCAACCTGACACTGTGTTGGTGATGGGGAAAGCCAAGGAGACCCAAAGCAGTCTATGCAATGGCATCACATTACAGATCACTCACAAGGGTAGCCCTTTGCTGTCCAACACTGGAAATGCCACACCTAAAATGCTGTGTAGGCTCCACACTGCTCAGCAGATGGACAAACTGGGGGGGAAGAAGTCAGAGAGCAGCAAGAATGAGGAATGGTGGATATAGTGGAAAAAACAAAATACAACTCAGTCGAGCAAAGAAGCAGTCAAGGAACACGTAATCATCATCTGTAAGTAATCGAAGGGTGCAAACACCAAGTAGAAAGGGCAATCATTCAGCTGGCCTGAGGGACAATAGCTGAAAAGGCAATGGTGGAAACTGGACAATAAGTAACAGCTGTCCAGCTCTCAGGGAGGGATCAATCAGGCTATAGGATAGTCTCACCAATCCAGCCCCACACAGTTAGAGCCAATAAAAACATCAGTGGGCAAACCATCAGGGAATCCATCTACACATCAGGACACTGGCTTGGGAGAACTTTCCCCAAGTCTCGTGGTAAAAGGAAACCCTGGGTTTCATAAAGCTCCATCCATTAACCCCATACAGCTCCAAGCTCTGGTCACTCCAAGCAGTAATTCTTAATCTCATCCCACCCATTACAGATCTGACAGACCTAGGCCTCAGCACTTTCAATTAGCCAGCCTCTCTGACTTGTTTTACACTTTTCTTCTCAGACCTCTCTCTCTCTCTCTCTCTCTCACATCTCTGGACCACCTTTTCCATTATCGACTACCCCATCAGTTTATTCCTTTCACCCTGAAGGAAAAGCCATCTCCTCCCCTTCCACCACCAACTCTGTAAAGAGTTTATACCAACACACACCCAAGCTCAGGAAGAGGAAGCAAGAGAGTTGCGTAGGGTATATGACAAATATGCTCTAAACAGTCCAACTCGAAATCAGTTTGACCAAACATCAGTGTGTCTTCACTACCTGTGAGGCAAAGCTGAGATCATCCCACACCCTTTGATAGCAAAGACCAGCAGCAATTGGTAGTACTCCTTGATGCTCATTTTTCTCTCTACCACTCCAACCTTACACGGTCTCTACAAATACCAACAAGCATAAAGAACAATACTGTAGTTGAGAAAAACACAGGTAGATGGAGCAGAGATGCACGCACTTACCCAGATATATGTCTCCAAATGAACCACTGCCAATCTTTCTGCCCAGCCGGTATTTGTTCCCCACTCGAAGCTCCATGGTTCAGTCGTGCTGAAAAAAGCAGCAAAGAAAATGCAGAGTCAGAGCAGAAACAGGAATTGAATCAATATAAGACTACAGAAGAGACTTGGTCACTTAGGCTAGTCACCTCACCGCGTACTCCAGAGTCTGGGTACAGTTATTATCTTGAAATACCTCATTTTCCATATGGCTTCTATTACCTATCCTTATTTCCTGGATGTCCAGGGACAGCATGAGCTTAGAAATACTGCAGGAACATGACCCTTGCAGGAACGTCACATTCTCCTTATGGGAACGCAGAAAGACTGAATCTCTTTCCCATCATTTTTTTCAGAGACTGGGGGAGCAGGAAATCCTCCCTAAAGAGGTTTCAGTGAGCAACTGCTTCACACTATGAGGAGCAGTACCACATCTCTCTCCACAGTAACCTAAAATAATTGGCACCAGGACAGTTCTAACCTCATGAGGCACCAGAAGGGATGGGCCTAAGCTCCACGAGAAGGAGCTCTCTCTGGCCCAAGCCTGGGCCAGTACCCTGGGGCAATCAAACACCGGAACCAAGGACTCGGAGACAGACTCTCTACTAGCAGTTCCACTGTCCCTGGGTGGGGACTGGCAAAGGGGAAAAGGAGCAAACACCACACCAAACTGAACTCAGTGAGGCCCACACTGACTAGGAACACCTTTTTCTTATCTCCACACGCTTCTGTTGATGGGATCACAGCCTCCATTGCTCTAGCACAGCCTCTCTCCGTCATCTATGCTGGTGTGCTGACACCTCATTTTTAGCAACTCAGGCCTCTCCCCTTCCTTTCACCTGAGGTTATTAGCTAACCCTTTGACCTGCTATACCCAATCAATCTGCTTAGACTTAGCCTACTCACCTTCCACAGAGAACTGACCAGCTAAAAGGCCCACAGCCACAGAGTTTGTTCTCCCATCCAACCTCAACCATGCCCTGCTGCTGCAGAGGCCTCTGCCAAGCACAGCTCTGTTAACAGCCCCTTTTCTCTCATCCCTTCCATGGCCACCAGCCACGGAGACAGAGAACGCAGCTCCTTTTAGAAGAATCTGCCATACTCTTAATTTATGCAATGCCACATTATTAGCGTACAAAATGCAGACATAGAGTCTGTTGGGGACAGGAAAGGTGAGGAATGATTCATGTTTTCACAAGTAGGTGAGAGGAACTTTCCCTTGCTGGAGCACAGTGGGAAAGAAGCACCGCTGAAGGAAAGATGGACGGAAGGAATGGCTCTGTGTCACTGCGAGAGAGATACACACACGCACACAAAATAATCACAGCTACAGGATTCTGGGCATACTATAAACCCAGAGCTGCTGTTTGTGCCCTGGGAGATGGGATTACAGAAAGAGGAATGGACGAGCTGCAGAGACGCACAGGGAAATAATCCTATCAAGGCATTCAGGGACATTTGTGAACCCTGAAAGCAGAGCTCCTGTCACCAGAAACCACATACAAAACGCTCTGAGGTGGAGTCCCCTAACCTAGCATTTACTTATGCATGTGGGTTTCTATATGTCTAAAGACTACAGAACCCTGTGGCTATTTCTGACTTTCTTACTACAAGGAACGTAGGCAGAGCCTTGGGAACTGAACCGGGAAGGTGGGCATACCTGCGTGAGGGCGCAGCAACAGACATGACTTTTATCTGCTGCCTGCTGTTCCGTATAACCACATTAGCATATACCCAACTTGCTTACATTCCTACTCCAATAAACGATCAAAGGTCTGTGTCCCCAGGAACCTGTCACACTACCATCATGAAGACAGCTCTCTAACCTTCTTCCTTTACAGCTATGTTTGCCCAAACCTGCTACCCTGAGCATTTCCGTTCAGGTCCAATTCCCAGTCCGGGCAAGCAGGGCCTAGCAAGCTGCAGAAGCTGGGCAGTAGGTCTCAGTGGACTCTACTCCATGCCAGGCACAGCGGCCTAGCGGTTAGCGCTCCACAGTGCCACAACCTGAAGCCTAAATTTGGTCCCACCTTCTGGGACAGACAGGAGCCAGGTTAAGAAGGGTTTCGTACACAACCAGGCAACAGCCCTTTTAGCTGATTAAGCAACAGCCTCCAAAGGGGAATCTAAAAAATGCTCCAGGGTGAAGTGGGGGGCAGCAGGATAATGGAGCGAAAAATCATGGTCACAAACAGCTGTCATTTTGCCTTATCTCCTCCTCCACCCCCCCCCCAACACCACACACGCACACACACATACTTACTTAGAAAACCTGGGTGGAGGAGAGCCAGACAGGAACAGTATGGACTCATGGTAAGGGGGCAGGACACACGGACACACGCACGTGGACACCCCTCAACAACTGCTCCAGGAGTTCAAACATTTACCATATTTGTTGGCTGCCTCCTACTTTACACACATACCCCCACCATTTAGTTTTTGCCTTTACCATCTTTATAATCTGATCTTCAGGTCTACTATAACAAAATGAACAAGAATAAAATATATATATATATAAAATTTGTATAAAAAAGTATACATACATATACACACACACATATATATGATTTAAAGATCACCCCCCACACCAGCAGACTTTACCCCCGCCTGCCCTGCCATCTTTCTTGTACTCTCCAGCCAAGGCAATGTTCCCAGGGGCTGCAGGGCAATCATTTAGTTAAACCATTTAGTTTTCCATAAGGGATTAGCACACATACAACCTTAAAGCAAGTGTGTGCTCTGCAGGAGTGTTTGCATACATTAATATCCACACTACACAGACACCTACAATATACTACACAGCCTCAAAAATACTATGCAGCCACCCGTGTTGGTTCCATACACACCGTTTTGCACCAATCCTGTTTTTATATAATATAAAATACCCATGTACACGCACAAAGGCCATTACATAAACATACAGTGTAGTTGGTCTCACACCCTGGTGTGTCAGCACAGTTTCCGACAGAAGACACACAAACCATTTCAAATAAAGAGAGAGTTCTCAGCCCCACCTGAAGAGGTATGAAGTGAGAAGATACCTAGGCTACCAAAGGCCAAAGAAAACCAAATACAGAGTGAGTTCAGCAGCTACATAATGGAGGCTGCCGAGCTGAACACAGCTCTGGCTTTAAGGGGAAGTGTGTAGAGCAGGGGCTGCTTTGCCCATAGACCATAAAGGCTTTACATGGCTTTTTTGTGTATATGTGTGTGTGAAGGGAAGTGAATAAAGGAAGAGGCTGGCAAAATAATAATTTCAGCTGGCTTAAGGAAAAAAAAAAAAGGAGAAAAATAACGTTTGGCTTCAAAAGCAAAACATCAAACACAAGCCTCCCCCCCAGCCCCTTTCACAGTTACAAAAGGAGAGGATCTAGCAGCAGATATGAGTCAAAAAAAAAAAAAAAAAAGCCCCACATACTCACAGAGCAAATACGTGCATTTAGATTACATTTTAGGAAGAAACAGCCACAACAGGAAAACAAAACAAAATCCCTGATACTCCCCCCTCCCCAACCCTTACAGGCAAAACACTACCCGAAGACAGCCTTACCCTGCTGGGATTTTTTTTTTTTTAATTTCCCTGATCGGTAACAAAAAAAAAAAGGCAGCCACCACCGAAAACGGCACGGAACTTCTTATTATCCGCCCCTTCCTCGCCGCACTCACCCCGGGGAGGCGAAAACCGTTCGCGATAAATCCCCTCTCCCCTCCCTC